TCTGAGGGAATGTTCCGGGTTGGAAGAAGGGGTAAACGGAGAGGGTTGGGTACGGAAGATAAAGAATTAAACAAAGGTTGGGATATCTGAGCAGCAGCCCACTTTTCATTTCCCACCCAGCTCGATACAATGGGCAGCGCGGTCCTGATTATCCTGCGTGGCGAGCGCTGCAGAATGGAATTAATCTTTGGTTGTGTATGCATTTGAGTTTGATGGACGGGTACTGCCAGGGTGTCCAGTCACTAAGCAGGAGAACGATTAGGGTTCTCGTCCAAAGTCTTTACTTCTGACAAGAACCTGACCACAAGGCAGCGGGTAAAGCGAAGTAGAGGCCCATTTACTTAGATCAATTACTCCTCTACAATTTTGCCGACTCTGGTAGAACTCCCAATCTGGAGGGCCAGGAGACTGGACTTCGTCTTACCTCTACCCATTGCCTTCCAGGCATGATTAGATCTGCGGCTTGACAAAAGCCATCCCGTATAGCTCGTTGGGCCACAGAGGTGCACAAACCATCACACCACGTCAAGGTGCAGTTTCGTCGTGTTCGGGCATAAGCCGATAGTCAACTACTTACGGCCGCAACAAAGTAACTTGCATCCCATCACACACCAATAGTGCAGCATAAGAGCGTGAATCACCTCACTCAGTACCATCATTATTCTTCGAACTTCAGACATTCTGGGCGTCCACCGATGTTGCATTACCCAGCTTGGAGGCCGCATTCGCTCCTCGGTAAGTTTTGCGCCCGCCATTCCCTCAAAAAAATAAAGCCCTTTAATCACTAATGCGAGAATCACGGTGTACACCATCGCTCTATATCATGATTATATAGTTAAGTATTCTTTTTTTCATGGAGCAGAATTTGCTGGCTCTCTCCGAAGGTATATCTAAAGGGACACTAGTTTCCCGACTACAACTATCTTTTTACTTTGTCTAACTAATGGGTCACTTGTCCGACACTTGATTCGTGTAGTGACGGACAGCTGGCATGTCCCACCGACCCCTAACGTCAGGCACTTGAGTTCTGATTTCTGATAATCCTTCTTTACAATCGTGCAATACTAACCCATTACATCGATGCATAAATACATACA